ATCAACATTCAGCGGTCCCCGCTGGGTGGTCGAGGCTTCGAGTCCTACGCTGAAGACGGAGTCCTGTCCGGGACTCTAGCGGGCCACTACTGTCGGGGTGTACAGGAGAAGGGCGTCGCGGCAACTCTGAAGCACTTTGTCTGCAATGACCAGGAGCACGAGCGTCTGGCGGTCGACACGATCATCACGGACCGGGCGTTGAGGGAGGTGTACCTCCTGCCGTTCCAGCTGGCGATGCGCATTTGCCCAACAGCGTGTGTCATGACCGCGTATAACAAAGTCAATGGGACGCATGTGAGCGAGAACAAGGAGATCATCACAGATATCCTCCGGAAGGAGTGGGGATGGGATGGGCTGGTGATGAGTGATTGGTGAGTCGCGGTCTCCTCCAGTGGAGATGTTTTGGTAGTAGGGTTCGGAACGCTGATACCTTGCATGCAGGTTTGGAACGTACAGCACCTCCGACGCTATCAATGCAGGCTTAGATCTCGAGATGCCGGGCAAGACACGCTGGCGTGGAACGGCCCTGGCACACGCCATCTCCTCGAACAAGGTCGCCGAGTTCGTCATGGATGAGCGAGTGCGCAATGTTCTCAACTTGGTCAACTGGGTCGACCCGCTCGGTATCCCCGAGCAAGCAGAGGAGAAGTCGTTGAACCGACCGGAGGACCAGGCGCTTCTTCGTCGCACAGCAGCGGAGTCGGTGGTGCTCATGAAGAACGAGGACAATATCCTACCCTTGAAGAAGGAAAAGTCGATCCTAGTCATCGGGCCCAACGCTAAATTCGCCGCCTACTGCGGAGGTGGCTCCGCGTCGTTGGACCCGTACTATACGGTGACCCCGTTCGAGGGCGTCTCGGCCAAGAGTCAGGGCGCGGTGCAGTTCGCCCAGGGTGTCTACTCTCACAAGGAACTCCCCCTACTGGGTCCGCTCCTCAAGACGGAAGATGGTCAGACCGGCTTCAAGTTCCGGGTGTACAACGAGCCCGCGTCCGAGGCGAACCGGACCCTGGTCGATGAGCTGCACCTGGTCTCGTCCAGCGGCTTCCTGATGGACTACGTCAACCCCAAGATCAAATCCTTCACCTTCTATGTCGACATGGAAGGCTACTTCACCCCGGAGGAGGATGGCGTCTACGACTTCGGCGTGACCGTCGTCGGCACCGGCAAGCTCTACGTGGATGGCGAGGTCGTCGTCGACAACACCAAGAACCAGCGCCAGGGCACCGCCTTCTTCGGCAACGCGACCGTCGAAGAACGGGGCTCCAAGGCCCTCAAGGCCGGCCAGACGTACCGCATCCTCCTCGAGTTCGGCAGCGCCCCGACCTCCGACCTGGACATGCGCGGCGTCGTGATCTTCGGCCCCGGCGGGTTCCGCTTCGGCGCCTGCCGCCAAGTCACCCAGGAGGACCTCATCGCGCACGCGGTGGACCTGGCCGCGAGCGCCGAGCAGGTCGTCATCTTCGCGGGCCTGACCAGTGAGTGGGAGACCGAGGGCCACGACCGCGACCACATGGATCTGCCCCCCGGCAGCGACGAGATGATCGCGCGCGTGCTGGCCGCCAACCCCAACGCCGTCGTCGTCATCCAGAGCGGCACGCCCGTCACCATGCCCTGGGTGCACCAGGCCAAGGGCCTCCTGCACGCCTGGTTCGGCGGCAACGAGTGCGGCAACGGCATCGCCGACGTCCTGTACGGCGACGTCAACCCCGCCGCCAAGCTGCCCGTCACCTTCCCCATCCGCCTGCAGGACAACCCCAGCTTCCTGAACTTCCGGTCCGAGCGCGGTCGCGTCCTCTACGGCGAGGACGTCTACGTCGGCTACAAGTACTACGAGAAGCTCGACCTCGCCCCGCTCTTCCCCTTCGGCCACGGCCTGTCCTACACCACCTTCACCCGCCAGAACCTCCGCGTTACCGCTTTGGGGCCCGAACAGCCACACCTCGCCGCCGCCGGCGAGCCCATCACCGCCACCGTGTCCGTCACCAACACCGGCGCCCTGCCCGGCGCTGAGATCGTGCAGCTGTGGGTCCTCCCGCCCCGGACGGGCGTCAACCGGCCCAAGCGCGAGCTCAAGGGCTTCGCTAAGGTGCACCTGCAGCCCGGCGAGACCAAGGAGGTCGAGATCACCGTCGAGAAGAAGCTGGCCACCAGTTGGTGGGATGAGCAGCGCGCCAAGTGGGCGTCCGAGAAGGGCGTCTACGCGGTGCAGGTCACCGGCACTGGGGAGGGGGTCCTGCAGGGCGAGTTTACCGTCGAGAAGACCCGGTTCTGGCTGGGGCTATAGCCCCTTCTATCCATGGTTGAGATCCTACGCATGGGGCACTGTCTGGTGTTTGGAATGGCAATCTCCATACCAAGCCTGCTCTCTGTCTCTCTCTCTCTCTCTCTCTATACTGGTTATAGTCGAAGTTTGATTATATGTTTCCACGAAATATGCTATGACGTGATGGATACCTTATGGATACACATCTTCATTCCTACCTGGCGTCTCTGCGATAAGACGTACTTCTATCTGTAGAACGTAGATATCCGACCTAGCATACATCCATCATTTCCCGGTTTGGACAGTATACGTATGATCATAGATTTCACCTCCGGGTGGCTCGACTAGTACTATGAATACACTCCGAACAACGTAACACGGACATACATACACAGGACATCTCAGGAACGCATTTCGGGGATAATTTGTTGGGTTGCAAAAACGTCATTGATTCATGAAGAGTCATTCACGTGCCCTGATACGGCAGCACACCTTCGAGGCCCGACGACATCCTCGGGAGGTGGTCCTCCTCTTCCTTTTCCCTGGGACTTCCCCGGCCAGTCAGCCAGCCCGCTAGTCGTCTGAACAGCGTCGTTGCTGGCGTCGGCCGACGACTCTCCGTCTCCAGCCCAAGTACCGAGTCGTCGTCGTCGTCGTCGTCGTCGTCATCCTCGTCATGTCGTCGGAACCGCCGTCGCAGTTTCCCTGATACCGACGCCGTGGAGTGGCTGAGAGCCGACCAGGAGGTCTTTAACCGCGATGCGCTGGTCCCCGGTCGCCGCGGTGGGGCAATGTGTGTTGGTTCTGGGAGGCGGGGGAGGGTCGGTGTCGGGCTATCACCAGGGACAGTGCCACTATCAGTGGTGGGTTCGCGTGGGTTTACGTGCGTCCGTTCCGTACTGTCTCTGCCCTCGGTGGTGGGGGAGGAGGATGCTGAGGACGAAGAGGAGAGGAGAAGGATGCTCCCCGTCTTCATCTTGGTCATCACCGCCTGCTGGAGACCGAGATCCCGCTCGAGCTCTTCGGCCGAGGTCATGACGTGGGCGTTGCCGTTCATGTCGATTATCGTGGGGGGCTCGTCTTCGCCGCCCTCTGTTCCTGAGAGTGTCTCATCGTGAGGGAGGGGGGCGGGGTATGTTGGTGTGTATGTGGAGTGGCGCTTGGGCTTGGAGGTGGAGGTGTCCTCTTCCTCGGTGCCGGTGATCTCTGCTTCGGTGATGAGGATGGAAGATCCCGTAGCAGCGGCAGGCGGGTTGTAGACCCTCGATTGCCGGACGGAAGTAGGGTTTGTGGATGTGAGGCCGAGGCTGGGGGTGCTGGTTGTCAGGAGAGGCATCGCCACACCTCCGGGGCCGACGCCTACGCCGCCAACTCCACCTGCGGAGGAGGTGATATACTCCGCGGCAGTGTCGGCGTCAAGGAATACCTCGACGTCGGAGTCGTTGGTGGCGTCGGGGCTCTCATCTGTGGGCACGGAGGGATTGTGTTGAACCGGCACCGGGTCAGTCGGGGACAGGAATGTGGCAGTGTCTTGGTCGCGTTGGCAGGGCGTCTTTGCGTCCCCTGTCGCTGCAGCTGCTCCCCGGGTTAAGAACAGGTGGTGGATGTGCTGTTGGTTGTGGTCGACGGACGAGGTCGGGCTCGTGTCTTCGCTGCTCGTCCCGTTGTTGCTGCTATCCGTTGGCGAGAGGCTCGTCGGCACGGTCCTGTAGACCGTGGTTTCTGACTGCGTCGTCGTCGTGGTCGTCGTTGATACTGTGATCGGGCTGATGATGACATCCTCTTCCCCCTCGGGTGCGGTTGGTGAGATCGGACTGACAATCATACTCTCTTCTCCCCGTGCGACAGCCGCAGTGGCTCCCACCTGCGACCTTTCAGCTTTGGGGCAGTCCTCGCGGTGCGTCGTGGTATAGTTTGAGTGCGAGGATCCCAGCTTGGACCGCTGCCCCTCTCTCATTGTCGCTATACTCGGTTGCTGTGTCAACCCAACCCCAGAATCGTGTTTCTCGCTTCCATCCCGAGCAAAGATCCCATTTCCGAATCGTCCTATCATTCCATTGCGAAGCTTCTTGGTGGTGCTGGACAACAGGTACTTCGCCTCAACCTGCGCGGCCGCGGCCGCACTACTCCCGGAGAGGGTAGAGGTGGCTGTGATAGTGGAGATGCGTTTCTTTCGGGCTGCAGCCGCTTCTTTGGCGCGATTAGGGCAGTAATTGGAGGAAATCCCTTGCTCGATGCGGTAAACGAGCAGTGAGCAGGCGTAGCGGACCTGAGCTTCCAATTCGGGGGAGAGCTCTTGGCGGGTGCTCAAGAGATCATCTTCATCGTCTTCAGCTTCATTTCGGGCGATGGCATTTTCATTGGGTTTTTGGGGGGAAAGATCATAGTATCGTGGAGGTTGGTCATCAAGGTTGTCATCATGAAGGGCGAAGGTCGGTTTCTGTGACTATTCCTTTAGTATCAATCCATTGACCTTGGTGATTCGCAGAGAGAAGGGGCGGTATGCCGCCACACTTCTCAGATTTGAGATCTCTCGGGGGATTATAGAGGGCAATGTTACACACTTTTGAACCGAAGAGGAAAGAAAATGAGGTGCGTTTTTTCAACAGGAGGTCCTTGGTCAGGAAATCCATATTCACTGTTTAGGGCCTTCGGGAAGAAGGTGAGATTGGAAAAGGGAAGAGACGTGGATCTATTGGTGCGGACCAGTACTGTATATGATATTCTGGGCTATCATTGATCCCAGGAAGAGAAAAAGATTGTCTCACAAACGAGAGGGCTGAATCTGAATAGTTTGCTCGCATGGGAATGACGATTGCGACCAGGGCTGATTCTGAGCGTCTTGGTCCGCTGGGCAACGAAGTGCCCAAAAGAGCCGCCCAAAACAAACTCTCTTTCTCTCGCGATTCGGCCCAACTCAATGAGAGTCAAAAATGGACCGAAAAGTTGTCCGGGCAGCTGAGGCAAGAAAATACGCAATGGGAATTGGAATGCGGGGGGTGGGGATGAATAGAAAACAGACAATTCCTTAAGGCCTCGGGAGCACAGCAAACAAGAAGTAGAAGAATGGAAACCCACCCAGCCCAGTAAAGCAGGCAAGCCACCTCCTCCCTCCCTATCATCATGATGACAGAAAGGACCCGGACTGGAAAGAGATATGAAGTGCCTACTTGCTTGCATTGCACAGTGCATAGGACTGGACGAGTCTCATAGCCTTCCAGCCTGCATTGCATTTCCCCGACGATCGATCCTTATTCGCAAGGAGAAGGAAGGCCCGCGGGAGCTGCGCGCCGCGCGCCCAACGGCGGCGGCCACTTCTAGAGAACGAGCGGGGAAACAAGCTATTAGACTTTTGTTAGGGGTGAAACGGCAGGTGAGAAAGCGTGGTTGGCATAAAAGCAGGCGTAGAACGGTTACGATCGCAGAGTTCGAGCTGAAGTCTGGCGACGCTCAGACTGTCTGTTCCGGTGGAGGGTGTTGGGGGGATTGTTTGTGTGTACCGTTTGGCCCCCCGGCATCTCTCTCGACCCCTGCTCACCCCGAGACTAAACCCGCAGTGACCATCACTCTTCAATGCAGGGTACAGAGCACGGTCATTCGCTGCAGGGAGACGAGAGGGAGGATCCAGCCGAATCCAGATCGTCGTGTCGCGGGAGAGGGAGGGCAGCAGACGGGATGGGACTGTACCCTTGCTGGCAACAATGAGAGATTTCCACGCTGTTGGGATTCTCCTGCTTCAGCTGTCAGTCTCGGTTTCGGCCTCTGCTTGACCAAGGACTGGGCTGACTGACATCATTGGCCATTAAAGCTTCACATTGCACAGACGAACAACCGGGTGCCCAGCCCATTGCAGTTAAGCATGTAAACGTTCAAGCTCCCAAGCCTTGCAAGCTTGAATAAGTCACGGAACGAATTCCATTGCTTTTTTCGGGAAAGGGAAATCCTGGCAAGGGTTGTGCGGGCTGCTGATTAGACTTCTCAATTCGCCAGCCAGGAAAGGGATGGATGAATCAAGGGAGGGATGGAGTGGAACTCCCACCCCGATCAGGGGAATGAAATCGGATCCATCATTCAGCAGAATTCCCGTGATCTCGGAAGACTGTCAGATGAACAGGGGTTCTGCTGAATTACTCGGGGTTGAAGCTTCAATGCAGTCATTTGAAGGCAATGGCATCGAGAGAGGAAAGAGGGGGAGGAAACGAAAAGACCCTGAATGTGATGTGATGGGTCTCACAGTATAACAGATATCATGTGATATACCACCTTCTTTCAGTACTGCATACCTACTTGCCATCCTCACACCTTATCCATCCAAATGGATCCCCAGCTCGATGATCACATCAACTAATCTCTAACCTCAGAAGACCAAGACTCCCAATCAGTGATATCTCAACCGATTGATCAATAGAAGACAACCTCCACAACACCCCGATTACCGCAACTCCAACCTAGACCCTAAGACCCAACCAACAATGAGACCTATCACATTCCCCTCCTCTCTGCTCTGAAAGCCAATCTCCACACTACCGAACTCACCGGTATGATTTACACTTCGGACACCTCCAACAGCAGGCCGGCCGCCATGCGTCAAACCCACTCCCTCCGCCTTTCCCTCCTCTGCTAAAGCCTGTAGCAGCCCTGCGAAGCCATGCAATATAAGCTATCCTCCGGCGCGTGTAAACTCCCACCCAATGCTTCGAAACTCTGATGACGCCGGATGGCGTCATCGAATCACGGATTGTATCGGGGAATGCAGTGCCACACGCTTTGCATCGCATCCCCGCATTTCGTGGGGAGCAGGGAAAGGAAATCCGGATTCTGGTGCAGGGTGCAGAAGGATATTACGAGGTGCGCTGGTGGAGGGTTGTGCGTGCAGGGTGGGGAGAGGTCTGTTCGCGCTCCGCGTGCGGTGGGTTTGGGGTGAAGCTCTCGACTCTCGAGGGATGAATAGAGTGAACGAATGGAAGGAAGGTTGCCTTGTGTCTTGTGCGTTGATGGTCTGCGCAAGTACTGTACACATGAGACCCTTAGGTATGTGTGTGAGGATGAGAAGACTACCAAGTAGCTGTACGGAAGCAATGTATATTGCGAACAAAAAAACGAGATCTGTCTATTCCATTCATCATACTATGTACGATCGAACTCTTGTAGAAAAGGTCGCCCACCACCCTCCGGGCATTGTGGCTGCTCCTGCAAAGGACACACCACGCCTCGTGAGGGCTTATCGATGGAGAGCAGTTGGATGCTTCTTTTACAGCCTTACCTGTTGTTTAGGAAACGAGAGAGGCAGTTAAGTGCTCATCTCTCTGACTGGCTTAAGAATGACAATAAACATAGTTTGCACCGCTACTTCCCCGAGGCGCCTGGTCCTGGCGGGGTCCGAAAGCCGCCGGCGCGTCCTCTCGTCGCCGAGAGAAAGACCAGACTTCGTTCCCTTGCTGGTGTCAGGCAAGAATAATGTGTGAAGGCTGCAATGACTGCGCCAAAGTCGATCTGGATACCGTGAGCGTCAGTTTACCAGGCGGTGATGTCTTCCACCTCCGCCTCGCCGAATGTGCTGCTCTTGGTTAGCTTGTTCACGCCATCGACGACCTCGGCGCCGCCCTCGGGAACCTTGGACATGATGTCGGGCAGAACCTCGCGGAAGAACTCGAGGATATACTTGTTGACCTGTTCGAACTGGAGGAGGAACGCGTCGTGCCCCTCGGGACTCTCGATCCGCTTCAACCTCGAGTCAGGGATACCAGCTGCGATTTCCTGCTGCTCCTCGAAAGTGAACAGTCCGTCGGTCTCAATGCCCAGAACCAGCGCAGGCTGCTCGATTTGGCCAAGTGCCTCGCGGACAGGGTTCTCAGAGTCTGCGCTGGCCCGGTGTCTGGAGACGTCGTGCGTGTCAAGCTTGCGGGTGATTGCAATGTAGCAGTTGGCGTCGAACCGCTTCACGAACTTCTCGCCCTGATAGCGAAGGTAGGACTGAGCCGAGAAATAAGTCGGAAGCTTCTTCTGGTTGCCCTTGGGTTCGAAAGTCTTGCTGAAGGTCTTGGCTCCAGAAAACTGCGGGTCCTGGAAGAGAACCTCGGCCGGCTGGGCAAGCGCAGGCGACTGGAGCACAGGGGAGCTGCGTCCACTGCTCTTGTGCCCATCGTTGTGAACGGCCCAGTGCTCGTTGGGCGGACTAGGCACTCTCTCCGTGCCGTTGATGTTCTGGCGCTTGGAGGGATCAGGCACGTTTCTGCCAAAGCGAGACTCGAACGAGTTGCGGCTGCGGTATGTAAGAAGGGCAGACATGCGGGCCGCACCCAACCCGGTCGCAGGGGGGTCATCGAACGAGTAGTAGCCATCCTCGTACTTGGGATCGCTGTAAATGCTTTGCCGTTGCGCTTCGCCCCAACTGATACACCACGCAGAGTGGCGGGGAGATGTGGCGATAGGACAAATGGCACGGACATAATCCTTGCCGAAGTAGGCGTACTCGAGGGTAAGCATGCCACCCATGGAACCACCCACCACGGCAGCAATCTGCCGCACGCCAAGGTCATCAAGCACGATCTTGTGGATCCTTGTCGACGTTAGACATGAGTACACCCAATTATCCTTCGAAAATTACATACCTCACATCATCACGCACGGTGGTGAGAGGGAATTCAGGTCCATAGAGGCCCTTCTCCGGGTCTCCGTCCTTGTAGGTGACAGCGCTGGCACTACCATACGGACTGCCCAGACTGTTCAGGCAGACAACAAAGAATCGCGAGGTATCAAAAGCCTGACCGGGACCACCCAGCAGAGGACCCCACCAGTCCGCGACATCAGCGCTACCACTGAGGGCATGGCAAATCACCAAGACATTGTCGCCGTTCGGGGAGAGTTTGCCGCGAGTGGTGTACGCCACCGGGACGTTATGCAAGGTAACACCAGACTCGAGAGTGAAGGAGGGGATGATCGCAATGGATTGGTCGGTGATCAAGGCCGAAAAGGGGTTTTCAGGTTGCGAGGCGACTCTCTCTACGGGATTTAGTAGCCATTCACCTCAAAATCGCGGGGACGGGCAAAACTGAGGCGGGGGCGGGGAAATTTCTAGGGAGGGGGAATACTGACGGAGTGTGCCAGAGGCGCCAGAGAATTGTGTGACCATTCCGGCGAGAATGAGCCTCAAAAAAGCGATGGAATATGAGGGTGAAGACAGAAGCAATCTCAGAAAAATTTGCAACAGCAATGAGCGAGATAACTTTTTGGAAAAGTGTTAGGACGAGGATGGGAGAATAAAGAGGGAGCAAGCCTCATTTTCAAGTTTTCCGCGGGTGACTCATGCGTCATGAACACCCAATCGGAATCCCTGGTTATCTCGGTCATCACGTGAGGCGTGCCTGTATACGATGAATACGCAAAGTGGATTGCCAGTCTTGATCCATGATTCATGCTTCATTCTTAACAGACTAGATGATATTAGGCGGTCTCCACCGACGATCTCGATGCTTCTTCCTTCCTCTCGGACCGGATACTACCCCATCCCATTCCCCATGCAACCACAAAGCATACGCAGGAACAGCCCGCACAGAGGTAGAACACGCGGTCGATGGTCTTTGAATATGCCAGGAGGACCCCATGGAGATCCGCGACCGATACGACATTCCGAAACCCTGTAGCTCCCGCTGTGAGCACCTCTTCGGCGCTGACATGCGGCGCATATTGCGGCAACAATTCCCTCAACCCTGTGTTTTGAATGGTCTGCGCAAAGCTGAGGAAGAGGGATGCCCCCAGGGTTGAGCTGAACATTAGCAAGCCCATGGCAACAGGCACCTCTGGGGGTGGGAGCGTGCTTTGCACGGCAACAACAGGCTGAGACGCGCTGGTCTTAGTCTCCTCTTCAAAATGTTTACAGTTCAGGTCGACTTACCAGCTGTATACCCATACCTTCGCCCACTCCTGCCAATACCTGGTACCCAGCCCATTTGCCAATGGATGTGTCCGGCATGAAAGTGGCCATCAAACCACTTGAAACGCCGTTGAAGATTGAGCTGAGGAGAACGTAGGGCAAGTAGTAGCCCTGGCATTCGACTGTGGTATGTCAGTTAAGATCTAGAGCCAAGCAAGCAATCACTTACCGAGCATGCCCACGAAGAGCGCTGCAAGCAACTGAGGTACCATGGTGGGCAGACGGAATAAGCCACTAAAGAGAGGCGAGGCCCCCTTGACGGCCTGGAAGTAGATCGGAACGTAGTAGTCTTTGCAGATGATCAGACTCATCAGGAATCCGAAATTCAGACAGCTGCAATATACCACACGATTCGAAAGGATCGTGAACGGAATCATTGCATCCGCGCCTTTGAAGTACTCCCAGATGAGAAAGACGATGAAGGTGCAGCCTGCACCGCAGAACAAACCAATGATGGTAGGACTACTCCAAGGGTACTCGTTGCCTCCGTATTGCAACGCTAGAAGCAGTTGAATAGCAGCTGGAGCGAATAAGATGAAACCAACAAGGTCCAATTGTCGGTGGATCGAGCGAGCAACTGTCAACGCTGCAGGCTTGTGGAGCTGTTCGGGAATGTCGATAAAGGCAATCAAGGCCGCGACCACTCCTCCAATGGGCAGGTTGATATAGAAGCCTGGGATCAGTTTAGCGATACGCTGAGAACAGGGCAGGAGGTGCCTACACCAGCGCCAGGTCGAATACTCAGTCAATGCACCCCCCAGCAGAGGGCCTATCACCAGCCCCATCTGCGCGACTATGGTCCTGTCAGTCGTATACTCACGGAGACCGACCTGATCGTGGCACACTTACTGCCCATCGACATTCCGATCAGTGCTGCAAACCTGTCAGCGGTTCCCTTCGAGAACTATTCTCTCCAGCTTACATGGCCTTTTGCTCATGGGGACAGAGTTGGCGATGATGGTGAAAGCGCCTGTCTGAATGCCAGCACCTCCGATCCCGGCCACGGCACGTGCAACGATCAACATCTTGGATGAGCTAGCGAGACCGCAGAGAAGGGATCCCAGCTCAAAAACGGTGAAGAACGTGAAGAAAGTCCACTGCTCAATTTGAGTTGAAGTCTACACGGGCAATAGCAGTTCGACACCTACTTTCGAGTTGAAATTGGCATAGAGTTTGCCAGCCAGTGGCTGCAGAGCAGCACTTGATCCAGTCAACAATTGGGTGGTGTGTCACGTAACCACACTGGTAGGGCTGGAGGCTCACCTGGCCAGCTGATACGAACTACCGTACCAGCCCACATCGTCGAGCGAGTGGAAATCACTGGTGATTCTAGGGATCGCCTGCACCGGGATTAGGGGTAGCCCATGCACTCGAAATTCAAGGAGACTCACCGTTGAGATGATAGACATGTCAAGCAGCATCAAAAAGCTCACAACGGTGATGCCTGTAAAGACAGCCGTCAACTTCCAGCCGGTGATCCATTTTTCTAGGGGTAATTCAATCTGGCTGATGTCGGGGAGGCTGGTCGTGAGATCCTCCGAGTTCTTCTTCTCTTCTGCCAAATGTGTATCCATTGAGGCGAGGTTCTGCTGCAGATAGTTGTCACGCGGGTTGATAAGAATGTGTACTGCTGTCTTTGCTTCAAATGAACAGGAGTTTCATCGATTAAAAGGCTGGCATTCAGTTGCCTTCCTTGCTTAACCGTGGAGACAGTATCTGCCAATAAATCTCCGAAGTATTGAACGCCACATTTGATGCAGTGCAACTAGCCGACCTTCAGTGGCCGACCACCTTTCAGGCAACTCGATGATAGATCTCAGAAGAGGTCACTGCACATGACATATCATACCCACTAGAATGTTGTCTAGATACCAGACGGTATAAGCATACGGTCGAAGGCCATCAGAATTGCTCGGACATGCTGAGATTGAGACACAAAAAGAATCTAGATATTACATGTTCATACCAAGGTCAACCCCAGATCACAACTCAACGACCAATTTCGTCGCCGACACTCCCTTTTTCAAGGTATCCAAACCACTCTGAACGGACTCCAATCCCCGTCCCACGACGTCCACCTTCAACGCAGACCTGAAGGAGCCATCTCCCAGAGCCCGTGGCAGGAAGTGCTCGAAGATCGCCGGCCCAACCTCATTGTCTCTCAAATCACTGCCGAAGACGAACTTCGACTCGATGCCCTCCCCCAGCGGCCCTGTCGGAGGAACCGCCAGGGAAACAAACTTCCTGCCCTCAACCTGGGCCACGATCTTCGCACACAACTCCACACTGCCATCTCCAATGGCAAACGCTCCCGCACTCTGCCTGCCCTGGAAGGCCGCCACCACATCCTCCACCACCGTCTCGCTACGATAGTCAAAGACCTGACTCGCCCCCAGGGACTTCACAAACTCAAAGTTCTTGGGCGACGCCGTGGTGAAGACCTCGTACCCGGCCGCGACAGCCATCTGAACCGCGTTGCTGCCGACACTCGACGAGCCACTCCAGATGAGCACCGTCTGACCCGTGGACGCGGCGCGAGGCGCGCGAGGAAACTGGAGGGCAAGATGGTTCTTCTGGAAAAGACCGCATGCGGCCGTGGAGATCCCCAGGGGGATGGCCGCCGCGTCTGTGAAGGATAGTTGGGGCGGGATGTGCGCGGTGGTCTGGGGCGCGAGGACCACGTAGGACTGGAAGCCTCCATCGGCCGGTCGGCTGGTTCGGACTCCTGAGGTCAAGCCGAGCACGCGGTCCCCGGGCTTGAAGCGGGAGGCGAGGGGGCCTGGGCCGACCTCGACGACTTCGCCGGCCACGTCGCAGCCCAGGACGGTCGGGTAGGCGGTCCAGGGGAAGAGTGCAGTGCCCATGTCTTGCATGGCATAGTCGACCAGGTTGAGTCCGATAGCTTGGTTCTTAATCACGATCTCGTTCTCCTGGGGAGGGGTGTAGGCTGCTTCGTCCACTTCGAGGGGATAGGCTTTTTCGGACGTGAGCCACGCGGCGCGGTTGCTGGGGGACATTGTGGGAGAGGGCGGTATATACTTGGAAGTTGTGTGAATGTTGTCTTAGGGATCTTGAGTCTGGTGACTGGAGCTGTCGTCTTTGCGTCTGGATTTGTTGGTGATGATGTTCTGTCCTTTGCTGTCCTCATGCAGTTGTTATTTATATACTTCGTTTCGTACTGAGTTAGGGCTTATGGCCGAGGCCAGCTAAAATCCGCAATGTCCGACGGCATTAATCCTTTCACCGCGTCACAAAGCATGCTAACACCGACGGCGTTCGATACCATATCTCCTACGGCGACTTTCCATTTAATCTGACTGAACCCCGCCGGTTCTTGACATCATGTTTGTTTCCCCCTCAGGTCAGCGGTAGACTACCTACTAATACTCTCCATGCTGCTTCCACCAGCCATGGACCAACCCTCCACGCAATATGATCTTTCCCCGGCCCCGTACGGCCGCGCATGTATGAATTGCTCGCAGGCGAAATGCAAATGCATACTTTCCAAAGACGGAGGCCAGTGTCAACGGTGGGTTTGGATCACAATAAGCATGGTCTTCCACCAACGCCCCGACTGATTCATGCATGCTCTCCAGCTGTCAGCGCCTCAACAAAGAATGTCGCCCCTCCGCGTTCCAGCGCCGGCAGAATCTCCGCAAGTCCACCGCCACGAAGAGCGGCCGCCTGGAAAAGAAGCTGGATGATGTGGTCGCGCTGCTTCGTGCCCGGGCCGCGCATGCGTCGGGTAGCGGTGCGGCCGCAGACGAATACGCCGACTTGATCGAGGAGCAGTTGAACGCAACGACGCCGGCAAGGCCCCGACCACGGACACGGACTCCGCGCAATGTCGCGCGGAGGAGATCCGAAGTTGAATCCCAATATGCCAGCAATGCGCGGGCCCGGTTGCAGTCCACCGAGCCGATCGAGCAGACATCGAGTGGTGGTCTCGGCTCAGCGGCTCCCTCGCCAGAAGACGCTGCCCTCGAGCTTCCGCCGTGGCAAGCCGAAGAGTGTTTGACGGCGTTTCTCACGCAGAAACTGCCGTATCTCCCATTCATCCACTTCCCGTCGGGGACCACGGCACGGCGTCTGCAGCGCGAGCGGCCGTTCACGTGGCTATGCGTGATGGCGGTTGCTGCGAAGAGCGCGAAGCAGCGCAGTGCGCTCTGCGACAGGGTCAAAGAGATTGTCGCGCGGAAAGCGGTCCTCGACTACGGGGGTCGCGATCTCGATCTCCTCCTGGGCATACTGATCTTCATCGCTTGGTACGTTTCGTCGTTCGCCACTGTTTCTTCCTCGGTTCTAACTCTCGATCCAGGTCCGGCCAGCAAGTCTTCCGCAAGCTCAACCTGATCATGTTCAGCCAGCTGGCCATTGCGGTGGTGTGTGATCTCTCGCTGGACAAGCCCTCCTCGCTGGAGAACTCTCTCCTGCTGTGTCTGCATTCTTCAGTGGACGACGACCCTCCCCCGCTGCCCGTCCGGTCCAAAGAGGAGCGTCGAGCCGTGCTAGGTTGCTATCTTCTTACCTCGAGGTATGCCCCTCCCCTTCCCTACAGCAGCAAAGCAAGACACCGGCTCGAACTGACCAGCCCCGCACTGCATGCAGCATCGCCCTCTTCTTCAAGAAAGCCTCATCCCTCCGCTGGACCCCCTACCTCGAAGAATGCCTCGAAACCCTAACCCAGCACCCCGACACCCCCAACGACGAAGTCCTGATCCACCAAGTCCGCTACCAACACGTCAACAATCAACTGAGCCAAAACCAGCCCGAAACCCCCAACTTTCAAACCCCAATCCCACTCCCCACCTACCAACACGCCCTAACCAGCTATCTCCAATCCGCCCAAACCAAATTCCCCCCGCACACCCCACAA